ATTATATGGTGGTAATTAGATTATATAGTGGTATTCAGATCATATGGTGGTAATATAATCTAAGATAAGCGGGATACCACCATATGATATAATTATATCATATGGTGGTATCCCGCTGCTCATTTAATTTTATTATATAAGATTTTAGAGTACATTTATAGATTAATATATAAATACAAATTGACTCATAACTTTATTAATATTAATTTATTTAAAATAAAATAATTACTATTTGATTTATTATATCAAAATAAATCTAATAAGTTATAATACATTATTTATCAATAATTAGAAATTAAAATATATCACAAAGGATATTCAATACTTGCTAAATATTTGTAAATTGTTTTAAAAGTACTTTTTTAAATGCTTATTTACTAAGTTTTAATAGACTTTATATTTGACAAGTTTTAGCATTTAATTACTATTACATTAATATATATATTAATATAATATTCAAATTTAATATAATTAAATTATTCAATTTAAATACTTAATATTTATTATTTAATTATACTTATTTATAATACATAATTAAATATAAATAAAGTAATAATATTTATTATATATATTCTATATTTGTGTAATTAATACTATTATATTATGTGATATTTTAGATATGTAATTATCACTACTTTTTACAATATATAACTTGCATTATTTCAAGAAAAACATTTATCAATTTTACAATTTCACTTTGAATTAACTTTACATCTTTCATATAATCTAGATAATTTAAAACTATAACCATCCTAAATGCAATAGAATTTTTTTTATTTAGAATCAGGAAATACATTATCAATAATTGAGTTTAGATAAATATAAGTTAGATTATTATTAGAATCAATAGATTTGTTTAATTTCACGTAATACTTCTATGTGATTTTTAGGATTTTGATCTAAAATCTGATCAATTTGAATTGATCTGATCATCTGAATTACATTTGAAAATCTGCATCTAATGATTTTTAGCTATAAATATATCAGATTAAAGATTATAAATTATCTGAATTGTAATTTGAATTGATTATATATAAGGTCAAAACTGATAAATGATAATCACAATAAAAAAATTTTCTCTTCATTAATTTATTTTTGTATCAGAGCAATTCGCTCATTATCTTATTTTAACATCTTTTACATTACTGCTTTTATGATTTATTATATTATCTATATTTTTGTCTCAAATCTCAATTTTTTTACCAGTTTTTCTACGAATTCAAAAATATTAAAAAATGGCAGATAATAATGATTATTATCCTAGAAAAGATCTTGATTATAAATACTGGATTTTACTTGAGAACAATAAAATCAAGCATCTAAAAGTTCAAAAAATTCATATGAAATCTTTTATTCATTGTCAACTATTAGAAGACCACCTAATATTCAGATAAAACTTTCATTTTCTGAAAGGTCTTTAGATAAAGGTAAGCTTACTTCAATATAATTTTCAGTATTTATTTGCTAATAATTTCTTATTTATCTACTTTAGACAAAGAAATTAACACATTATTACTTGCTAGTTCTGAAAGTAAAAATAAATACAAATATAAAAAACTATCATTTATTTAAGAATAATTTGAAAAGAAAATTAATAATAGAGGTAAAATTTTCTGAATCTGTAATATTTTGGGTGAGAGTAATAAAAAATGTGGCTAAAAATATAAAATTTCTGGAAGGTTAACAGGAAATCTTATTGCATATCTTAAGGATAAACATGAGATTATTTCGCAAGATGATGATACTATTTCAAAAAAAATATTATAAACAGTAATGTGTATTGGAAGCTTCTAATAAGATTTATTGGAATTGGAAGTATTGAAATATGCAGATCTTCCAATATCTTATGTATATTAAAAGCTTTTAATCAAATTTCTTAGATATTGAATATAGTAATTGGAAGCTTTCAATGAAAGCTTCCAATACTTTTAATACTAAAATTAGTAATTTTATTAATTTTATATATATAGTTAACATATATTTGATAATCTTTATTTTCATTTTCATCATCTCTAATGAAAAGACTTAGAACTTACCATCTTACAAAATATATAAAGGTTTTAGAAAAACAAAATTTCTGCAACACTTATGCAGCATATATTGCTTGTGTTAAAAAACTAAAAAATGATGAGCTTTTAAAAAATACTTTTACAAATAAAAATTACAAGTCAAAAATCATTTAAAAAACTGTCAAGAAAAAATTAGAAATCAAGAAGAACTGAATGATATTATCAATTTAATAAATAATAAAATAGAAGAAACAAATTAAAAATAGCAAAAAGTAAATAATGATTTAGGTAAGAATAATAAAAAAAGTTAAAATATTTAAAATATTTGTAATATAAATTCAAAATTTTAAATTTTAATTAGTAAAAATAGATTTAATAAAGTCATTTAGATCATTTTCATCAACATTATCATTTACACGTAACTCTAATTTTAAAAAAATACAATTACAAATAATCTTATTCAAACTCTTACTAAAAATAAAATACCAAAATTTGAATGCCTTTTATTAAAAATGTCAGTAACAAATAATTTTCCATTTCAGTGGATAGATCATATAATAACCTTAGAATTTTTTAAATTTTTAAATCTACACCTTATTTTACCAAATAAATAAGCTTTGTCTAATCATATATTAACAAAAAAAACTGAAAATTTAAATATTTTAAGAGATGAAAAATTGATTAATGATAAAATTAGAATGGTATTAGCATTTGATGAATAAAAAAAACATTTTAAAACAACATATATTTAGATTATTATTAATATTATCTTCAGGTGAAATTTTAATATAGAATGCTTCAGATATTAATAGTGAATAAAAACAATTAATTGAAGTAATACCAAAAATAATAGAATTGATTCAAAAAATTAAAAGATTAAGTATTAAACTTAATGCAATTGTATTTGATAGTGTACTAGCTTATGCTGCAACATGATAACTAAAATAAATAAATATTAATGTTTGTATTATTTAATTTAAAATTAATATTTATTTAATAATTTATTAATAGACGATGACTTTGATTAGAATATTCAGAAATTGTCTTTCTTCCTTGTTTTACATACAATGTCAATTAGCAATTTGTAATATTTTTAAAGAATTACTAACTTTAAAAACTGCATATAGTAAAGTAATTACAGTTGCTACTTACTTTAAAAATACAAATAATAGTTATTTTATTGGTAAATAATGAAATATTCAAAATGAGCTATATAATAATTATTATTCAATTATAATTCCCAATGAAATAAGATAGAACAGTTATTATTTCTGCTTTAAAGTCTTATTTGATCTAAATAAGCTTTGCAAGTAATATATTTTTCAATTAATTATTATTTATAATAATATAATAATATAATAATTATTTGTTTTTTATTTAATTTTTAGAATTTAATAATTCGTTACAAACATCCACAAATTGGTTCAGAAAATACTAATAAACTTTATCTAAATCCAGAACTTTGTCAAATACTTCTTGATAATAATTAGTAGGAAAAAATTAAACTTTTATAAAATATTTTATTATCTTATTGTGATGTTTTAAATAAGTTACAATTTGATAAAGCACGTCTTTTTGAAGTGCTTCATGCTTTTGGTTATTTTATGCAATTTTGAAAACATTTTTCAAATTTAGATTTAGGAAATCAAATGATTAATTAATTAGAAAAATGTTAGAACCAATAGAAGCAACTATTGTTATTACTTTTTTTTGTACTTCATCCAAAATATCGGTTTGGCTATTTTAATTCTGAACTTGATAATTTGTCATTTACTTCTCTGAAATGGTATTTGACATATTATTATAAAGCATAGTTTAAAAAATGTCCATTACAATTATTATTGGACTTTGAGAATTTTCATTAGAAAGTTAAACTATTTAATAATGAAACATTTGAACAATTTGAAGATGATGCTTTTAAATTTTGGGGATATGTAAAAGGGAATTATAAAGAATTGGCTGCAGTTGCTTTAAAACTTTTTGGCATATGTGTAAATGCAGCTTTTTGTTAAATGAATATAATCTTTCATGAGTTTTTTATATATAGTTTGTCATAATAGATTAAAGGTAAATTAATTTTATATTTAATTATAACAGTTATTTAATTTTTTTTGATGGCGATTTATTAATTTATTTGATAATGATTTATTAATTTCTTTTTATTTGATTATGGATTCCTTTATTTGTTTATTTAATAGCAGGTTATTTATACTCTTTTAATTTATTTGACGGTGGGATTATTTATTGATGGATTCTTTATTTCTTTATTTTGATGGCGGATCTTTTTATTTACTTGATAATGTATCTTTATTTATGTTTGTTTGCCAAATATTTATTATTTTTATTTTATTTTAATAGAATAATAAAGTATTAGCAATGAGTCAACTTTAAGTATCTATTAATTTTCATTAAGAGAAAAAGAATTACAATAAAATTAAGTCAAATTTTTAGATTCAAATGCTTCTCCAATTGAAACTGATTCTGAAGTTTTTGTTAAAGAAATTGATGATATTGATGAAGATAATACTTTTATTACTTCTGAATATTGGGAACAAGAATTAAATGAGTAGAAAAAAATGTTAAAGGAAAAAGAGTTAGCATGATTAGAAGAGGAAGAAAAGTTAAGAGATAATCCAAATATCAGTATAAGAAGTAATCTTTTAAATAAATATATATATCTAGCAATAGACAAAAAAAGCAAAATGAGAGCTTAGAAATTTATTTAATTTAACTCTCAATACTTATGATTACTTAAATGTAGAAAAATCAGCAGTTTTTTTATTCAATGTATAGTTTCCATTTGAAATTCATTAATATTGATTATTGATCACTTCAAATGATTTTTTTTTTTGGTTTTTTTTGATTCCTTTTTTGGTTTTTTTATTATTTTTTTTGTTAATATTTAATTTAATTTAATTTATTTTATTTTATATTTTTTATTTTTTTATTTTTTTTTTAATTTGTGTTTTCTCTATTTTTTATTTTTTTTTTTTTATTTGTTTTTTATATTGTTACAGACCCTGGCGAAGGTAATGGCACTCAGTTTTTTAATAATTTGTGCGCAATTTTATAATAAAAAATCAAAAAAAATTTTATTTTCTGAAAGACTGACCAAAATTACATATATTTTATTAATTAATTAATATTTGGTATGGCCTC